GGTGAGGAAAGCAATGGGTTCTTTCCCCAGGCCGGAACATACCTAAGTCCTTAAAAATGGTAGTTGTTATTCCCTGCTTAACGTTCAGCATTTAGGGGAATGGCAACAACTGGTTCACCCGTTGTCAGTATAATGTGAATGGGCGGAATGCTGTGCTGGGTGCCTTCGGCTTGGTATTTCAGTGAGAAAAACCTTTTAAGTCGGCATCAGATCCGCGCTATCACAAGGAGGCAAGCACACAGACATACCTTGTCTCCTACATACACACATGCAAGTACGCATACACTTCACACATGGAGGCACGTCCTTAAATGACCTAAGCTGTTAATAGGACGTTAAAAAAAAAAAAAAAAAACAAGTCTACACTTCCCCACAGTCTGCTACCTCCTTTCCACTCTAAAAACCCCTCCAAGTCAATAACCGACCTAAAAATCTACTAACCCCTCACAGTATATCACCCTCTCAGTCTACTTCCCTCTTTTTACTCCGGCTACAAGCCCCTCCAGCTCCGCTCGTCCCCATCCTACCAGGCCCTTCCACACTACTGTACCAGACTTTGTACAACACCCTCTCAGTCCAGCAACCCCCTCTCAGTCAACCCCTTTCTTCATTACTTAGGTCACAAAATATAATTTCCTCTAATTCCATTTTCCCATTCAGTGTACGGTAACAATAAGAAGCTAGAATGGCCCCTGTCTCGAGAATATTGAATTATTTAGAAGAAAAAAATACTGTAATAGTTTTTGATCACTTGGATGTCTGATTAGGGGGAGATGCAAAGTAAGGTACATGTAGCTGTGAAATGCAGCTGAGAAATTCTTTATAAAAACTAAGGGTTGGTACATATAGCCAGTCTAATGGAAGCTCGCACAGCTTACACAGTGTATACAGACAATGACAATCCGCAGCCATCCGTCAATACCGGTCCATGCATTAATTTACGATGAAAAACTCAATGTTATCCATAATTGTCTCGTTACTAATGTCATCAGATTACCTCGTATAGACAGACAGACTAAAACGTTCTACACGTAGAGCGTCCCTACACAATTGTGATTTATTTTCCCTAAGGAAATGTATGTCTACTGGTATTTTTTGTTAGAAAGCGCATGTCTATTTTTGGAATAGAAAAACGTATGGTTTTCAGGGTTCATAGTGATACTAACGTGTACAGTTTGAGATGTTATAACAGATATTTTATATTGTGTATATAAGACTTTATGGTAAATGAGAATGCCGACTGAAAATTGCGAACTCCACGAAGAGAATATTGAATTTGTAAATCGAAGGCATTCACATTAACTATACGTACTTTATTTTGTATTACATATTTTACTGGTACATGTACAATGACTGGACAAATTACATACTTCAGTTATTTTTATGCAATGTTACGTTTCTTTTACTTTTTAAACGAATTTCGAATAAGTAGACATCAAAACAGTTTAAATAAAAGATAAATCCATTGCAAGAAAAATATGAAAAACAACTATAAAAAATCGATATCTTGGTATTAGTTGCTGTACAATAAAAAGATGTTTAATGGGATATGGGAGAATGATTCTACAATAACCACCAGTTTATATCAATCCATAGGCTGCATACTGTTTACCCTTATTTCTAATAAACCAGCATAATTAAACGAATTCCTGTCAGTAACCGCGCCAATGGTTCAGGAACCAATCAAAACGGTGACCAAGTTAAATAAGGCTCATAAACCGACCTAGTCACGGACTGAAAAATCGACCGACTGTTTGTATGTTTGTTCGAGTGGTTTTACGTCCATCGACCGATCAGTCACTAGGTTTATATATAGTAATTACAGGACTACTAAATAGCAGTATAAACTGTTAGTAACCTTCCATCAACTCTACTGCTTAACCAGATTACGTGTGTTTAGTATATATGTTTCCTTTCAGTAACAATAGCTGTGTAGATGGGCTTTAAGTATAACCATGGTAAATGTGTATCGACTTCTGTCTTGAAGTTGTTCGTGATCCATAATCTTTGTATTGTATTTTTAACCAATCCTTGTTTACTAAGGTCAGCAAAAATACCATTGTACAATTACAGCATAACGATGCGCTGTCGTTGGAAACGGAATTCCTGGTCCTTTATTTCATTTGTACAGTTCCTCATGCGACATGCCTAGACAAAAAGCAATAAAACATGACTTTTCAATGATAATTTTGTACGACAGGCATATGTACGGGAACAAACAAAAACGCCATTGCTCATAACAGAATGGTAATTTCCATGCAAATACGGTGTATGTAATATCTGTTACAAGTCCGAGGACATGTATTTTTATATCTGTACAATTTTAACCGAGAAGTTCAAACAAAGGACAACTATCAGTAGGAAACAAAATTCTTTATATAGAGTTGTCATTTTGATTAAATTGCATGTGTCGTCATGGCGTTTCTAACGTGTCTTACGAACGTTTTCTGTTTTTTGAATGGTTATACTCGAAATCTGAGTGATATTTCCATTAATTGGTTAGTGTTTCTGGTTTTGCGCAATATGTATTACAAGTATACAGTTAAGCAACAGAGATCAATAGCATACTGAACAAAGCGAGATAACTCTTACGAGTTTATATAACTATCTAAACACCACAGTACAACTACCAATGCATTTTGTTTTGAGTACAGATGAGGATTTCATAATATGTTTTTTTTAAATTGATCCACTAGACGGTTTTCCCACAATGCAATGAATTTTTCGAGAAAATGGTTTAATTTCTACAGGTGTTGTATAATCTATTACACAGAATAGCTACAGTCGGAACATTTGGGTGGATGAAACTTTTCATTATTTTGTCAAACACAGCTGTTAATATTGGCTTCGTTATACTCTAATAATTTTATGTCAATCCATGTTGTTTCTGCTGGAGTAAGTAAAAATAATATCAAATAGGTTGACTTAAACGGTACATTTTTGAACTGCTATGTTCAAACACAGAATTATTGAAGTCCGTGGTCATAATAGTAACCATCACTTTTGTATTTTATAACTGAAGTTTTTCCTACAACAGTGCCTTGATTAAATTGGAAGTTATATCACCGCATCATTCCTTTAGTAGAGGTATATTTCCGCCTTTATACACTGTATGACAAATCCGTATAATGTGATACACTGTTTACATGGAAAAGTGTGTAAGGCATGTCTATGTAAGCGTTTCTAAAACCTTGCTGACTTTGGTTAGAAATATCTTACCTATGTCTATACAATCCCGTTACAATGTTTTTAGAATCAAATGAAACTACAAAGAATATTAGATATTATACAATATGTAACTTTCGTTACCTGATAACTTTATTTAGTATATTATATTTTATAACATTTCAGCCCCTTTGAATTATTTTATTCATTTCGGCAAAATAACAAATAACAGATTAACTTTCCTCACAATATTAAGCATTATAACACTTTTTCATACAAAAACCACTGTCAAGTCACTTTGAGAATACCTGTATGCCTTATACGGAGTACAATAATTGTAGCAGAAATTTGAATTATAATTCTGTCCAAACGCATGTTTTCCTATGCCAGTTCGTAGACTTCATACTGTATACCCGAACTTAAAAACGAAATTCAAATATATATAAATATAAAACCAACTTGTGCCTTTTGTGACATACCTCGTCAATAGCAACAAGAATTACGCATAATTATATGTGTCGCCTGTCCCTCTTTGTCAATATAATAAGCATTTGACATAGTTCATAAGGAAGCGGACCTAAACGCAAAATCATAACATTGATTTTTTTTAAAGTCCATAAATTTCATGTTTTTATCCTAAAAAGTGCAGTAATCCATGAAATGTTTTTAAAGTAGTAGGCTCTACTACCCATGATACATGTATGATTCAGGTTTGGTTGGTCTAGCTCTTATACTTTGTCAGAAAGAGCCTAATATGCAAGAGCTAAACGCAAAACCTTAACGTTGTGTTTTTTTCTAAGTCCAGAAATTTGAGGTTTTTAGCGAAAAAATACAGAAATCGTTGAATGCTAGTAAAGAGTGTAATGCATTCAGCTATACATCCCATGATACACCTATGACCCAAGTTTGGTTGCTCTAGCATTTATACTTTGTCAGAAACAGTCTAATATGTAAGAGCTAAACGCAAAACCTTAACGTTGAGTTTTTTTCCAAGTCCAGAAATTTGAGGTTTTTGCCAAAAAAAATGCAGATATCAATGAAACGTTTTTAGTGCAGTAGGCTCCACTACCCATGCTACATCTATGATCAGGTTTAGTTGGTGTAGCTTTGTCAGAAACAGAGCTAAGGCAAAACCTTAACATTGTTGACGCCACCGTCACCGTCGGAAAAGCAGCGCCTATATGTCTTTCCGACATCCGTCGTAGGCGACACAATACAAACGACTTTTCAATGACGGTATTTTAGCAGGTATATTTCCACTAAAAAGAAAAAAATTGGCAAAACTTTCACAGAATGGCGACGTCTGTAAAAGTCAAAATTATTTATAAGCAATATTTTCATCCCTAAACTGCCTTAGCTTGCATACTTTATAAGGATTGGCAGGTCCCTATACACATCTGTACAAAAAATCGTTTTATCAAACTGAGAAGTGCAAGCAAAGCAATGCTCCCTAAATGTCGAATTTGTATCTGATATGACCTTGGCGTTACAATACAGTCAGAGAAGAAATTGAATAATAGAACAACTTTTCCATACATGTAGGTAAGAATATGTACACAATGGGAGTTCTTGACACCATCGATCACATTGAGTCGACACTTTGTGATACCAGATGGTACATGTACTGGGCTTGATGTTGGCTACTGGTATCCTGATGATTCTAATATAAACGTTACCAATGTCCTCTTTCCTTGCTCCAATCCAAACTTTACCAATGGTTTTTCACAAGCCTTCCAATCCAATTGTGACACTTGTCTTCTAAGCTCAATATTGCTCATATTTAAAGACATTAGAAATCAACAAGGTTAGGAAAGAAAAAAAAAGTTGTCAAAATATAATATGTGCAAACATATTTTATTGCAAACAATAAAAAATTATAATATTCTCACATGATAACACACAATAGTACAGATATCTGTCTGTAGATTTAACAGCATGTTCACCTACAACTTGTAGAGATTAAAGATTGTATCACAATTAAGGTATATATTAGTATAAAAATAGAAAAAGATTTAATCAATATAAAAATGATCTCATTATTGTAATCACACAAAACATCACATACATTCTTAAATACAATGTACTCTGTTTTGTTTGATGCTGAAGAATAAAAAATCAACAAAACATTATTTTAAACTTTGATTATGACAAGAATTTGATTAAATTCTCAAAGATTAAATTTCAAAATTCACATACTGTGATTATATGAAAATGAGTATTACAACAGAACGTTTTCTCCTACTATCAACATTTACCAGACAAAGATTGCACACAGTACCAGGATTTCATTTGTTATGACGTTTTAAAATTTCAGACAGGGTCCTATCTATAGTAACAAAATGGCAGATAAAAGCTGCGTAATAGTAAGTATAACTGGAATGTTCATTGTATACAACATCAATGCACTTCAAATTCTCATCAATTTGAGAAGGAAAGGTGACTGTGAGATTAAATAGTTCAATTAAAAAGGTACAAGTATTTTGTAATAAAATTAAATTACAATAGAAAAAAATAAACACATAGTAATTTTATAAATTCTCAGTAATAAATCTTCATAATGTTTAACCCTTTCACCCCGAGGTTACTTTAGTAGACTCTACCATACATTTATCGGGATGATTCCACATGGTCCACAGTGGTTAAAGGGTTAAAGCGTTTTTTTCTAGAGATGATGTGTTTGTTTTATTTTTAAAACAACTACTGCATACCTCACATCTATTTTAGTGCTGTAGAAACATTCAAAAGACATTCAAACTTAATTCGTTGCAGTAATTCCCTTCAATTGGGATCTAAATTTCTTCTTTGCATGTCTATGGTATGTTCAAGGTAAAACAGATAAAAACTATATGCACTCAATGGTTTTGTCTCGTTGATATGTAAAGGAGATATATTTGTATATGTACAACATTAACGACACAAGTCTACTATATATATATAGCTAGTTGCCTCCCTTTGAACCATTCTCCTCCACATTATGCCAAAGAAAACATTATGCATTTATGTGACGTAAATAGTTGTTTTTTGCATAATATTTTTTTATGCAATATCACTTGTGAACTGGGACATTGACTGTTTAGTATACATGACTGATGTACACCTGTGCAGGCTATATACAGTGTTCTCCCCAGGCTGTTTTTGCAACATGGCACCATGCTACCATAATTTCTTGCCATGCTGCTATCCTAGATCTTCTCTGCTATATATTCATAGTAAATCTAAAGTTACCATGCTGCTTTGATTTTACATAGAGTGCTGCTTTAACAAAAATATAGAAATACCATGCTTCTTTCAAAACATTCTGGGGAGAACACTGAGTCTATACACTATACAACATGAAATGTGAGCTTTATATGGTTACTTAACATCAAGTCTACAACTACATTATTATTGCATATTGATGAGAGCTTCTAAAGTTCGTCTCTCTTTGGTGAATCAAACTCCCGGACAGGCTTCACCATCTTCACATTGTCCCCAAAGTGGATGTCAAAGTCATCAGTGTCATCATTGTAGATAACCTTTCCCTTCTGTAACACATAGCAATACATACATATACATGTAGGTCTTCAGCAACAGGTAAGAATCTTGCAGTAGAAGAAATAGTAATGCTGTATAACTGCTTTTTGTTTTCTATCGAAGAATTTTGTCACTTGGCCATTAACCTTTATCCCTTTGGCGCCTCTAGGGTCCGGAGTGACTTAAACTTTAATTTAATATTTTATATCTATATTATATGACTGAAAACATGAAATTACTCAGTATCAATTGTTTCGTCTGTGAACCATTCACATTGACATGAATAGCCATCAACTAGAAGCAGACGAGAGGAAAATTTAGACAATATGGTGGTACTACCCTCCTAGTGTTATAGTTGAATAGAAGCTATGTATATCATTCTTTGTCATGTCAGTGGCAGAGCCAGAGACCTATCTGGGGGTATTTCCAAATTTCCAGGTGGGGGATGTTTCCATGCGGTGAAAAATTGAGGAAAATGGTGGAAATACATGACTTTTAAAAAAAACTCTGGATCTGCCACTGCATGTATTTGGTGTAATGAACTGTAACGATCTTATGTTTGTGCCCTACAAAGGACATATTTTCTAGACAAAGAAACAAATTACAGTTTATTTTGCCAACATTGTCGGTTATTTTACTCCTTTGAATACATGTACAAACTATATACAGTGTAGAAAAGTAATTTTGATAGCTGGGACACCCTGACAAAAATGTATATATAAAAACGTAACTCTGATAGGACACCCTGACAAATGATTTGTGTGACGTTAAATACTCACTTTAGGATCCTCCTCCCCTTCTTCCTCTCCTCCTCCACAGGCAAATGTCTCCTTGTTACAAACTATGTGAGCGATATGCAGGTAGGAATGTCCCTTACGACTCTTTTTACTATAGTAATCCCTTAACAGTGGTACCAGGTCATCCTGGTGGTTTTCTATAAAAGATTTAGTTATGAAAAACATAGTTAAATAATATATCATCACAGCTGTGCACACTCAGAATAGAAAATCCTTGTATCATTAATAGTACACATGTATCTTTAAATGAATTATTAGTCTGCACCTGGGATCACAGATTTTTAACATCTGTATATTTTATGTACATACATGTTTATGTATGAGAAATGTTTTAATCGTAATTGCTTTATAATTGCTTTTTAAATAAAAAAAACATTATTAATATTTTTTTATTACAATGCATGAACATAATATAATAACACAGATAATAAAACAATTGACAATAATAGATTACTTGATTACATTACTATTTATTTATAATTATAATTTAATACCCTAAATTTTTTTAATTGACTACTCTATTTATTATTCCCTGATATTGTACAATGTGTACATGTTTGAAATTATTGTAAAAGAACACTTTTTATTTATTTCATTCTGCAATATGCAACAAAAAACAACATAAAGTACAACTATGAAAAATTATTTTCAATGACATAGCTAGTTATTTAAAAATATTTGGCAAACTGAACAATGTAAACACATACATATGTAGATAGCAAACACCTGGAAGGGAGCAGTGGCAGTGTTCTTCTGGACAACTCTTATATTATACAGGAGAAATATAGCCTGAAACTAAAGTGTCTCGTACAAACTTGTAAGTACTTACGCACTAAGTGTTCACAAGCTTTGACAAGCTTTTTAACGCTGTACTCGTAACTTAGAAAGCGTTCCTCATCACACACCTGTCCCAGCAAGTCACTAACTCTCTTCTCCATTTTCTCTGAGGTATGATACTGTAATGCCCTTCCTAGTTCTGTAAGTACCAGATAAATTACATAAAACAGTGACTTCTACAGAGCCCTCGTGGACTATCTTTTTACACAGAGACTAAACCTACAATTTCAATACTGCACTATAATGTTACATTTTACTTAGACATTATCAAACTCATCAAATTATTTCCTAACAATATTTCAAGAACTTACTACTGTATCAGAAAGTCAGAATCATTTGATTTGGATGACAATTTGTTTTATAAACAGCTCAGATGATACCAGTGATAACAAGAGTACCGCGGGGCGGAACAATATACGCCCGTCGAATGCCATATAGTGCTATATACTTTCTTACATTGAAATAAGATCTGCATCATTCAAAGAGTGGTTTACTGATAAAAATGTAGGAGAAAATCTCCGGATAAAAAAATCAAATACTGAAATGAACAAAGGGCAATAACTTTTGCAAAAATCGTCATATCAAAATTCTTTTCAAGGAAACACAACAACATATCTTTGGTGGGGGGAAATTATAAATGTCCCAATCTCAGAAAAGGGAAGAAAAGAGAAATTCTAAATATTGTTTGGATGTCAGAAAGTAGTATACATGTAGAACTGACATGACAATTCTAATTTATAAGTTCTATATAAGGGCAAAAATCTATCTTTTTCTGAGTTTAAAATTTTGGGCAACACCCAAAATTAATTCTTGGGTCCCCCCCTGCACTCTCTAATATAAACCATATATAATCATTTGTTAAAATAAAATTTGGTATCTACCTACCTTCATGTTACAGGAAACACATTTTTTTTTTTGTCTGGCCTTATAGTTAAATCTGTATAAAACTCATTCAATCCCAGTCTGGTCACAACCAACCTGAATGTGATCTTATAATTACAATAATACATGAAACTGTTTTATACTGGACAACAAGTAACTATTTATTTGTAATGTATACAGTAAGTTAAAGGTAAGATCAGGAGAGCTATAATAGTTCTATAATACCGATTATTTTCTATGTTGGCTACAAATAATACATGTCAGAACTTGAAGCCTGACACACTATAGGGGTGTTACATGTTTGGTGATGTGGTCATTGTAAAGACCATTTTTAATGTTTGACCATTTTCAATTTACCTTTTACAGTGGCTTTGCAACCAGCACAGTACATTTCTGAAAGAGAAAGAAAATATAATAGACATAATGTGTATATATGCATTAAGTAATGCAGAGTTTAAAAAAACACACAGACAAGACAGTTTAGTAAGATACAAAAATTATACTCAGAGACATCATTTTTTTGTCATGTTTTTCACATTTTCACATTTACCATATATAGCCTTATAAGTATACAGACCTATATTATCAAATATATGCGCTTCCATTGATTTTCTTGTCGTTAAATTTATACATTTTTTCACTTTTTGTTGAATACTATGATAAATACACCAGTCAGAAACTAAGTACCAGTGCCATGCACCGTGTCTCACCACACAAACACATATATAGGATGTGTTTATACTTTGCCTATTAGCATACAACTGTGGTAGTATTAAAAGTATATCATAATATAGGTTTGTGTGTCTTTGCATGTGGCACATGTTGTGTACCCATATATATATGCACACACATCATGTGAATTTGGTTTTGAAGTTTCCCAAGTATTTCAAGGCAGATAACGTCTCATATGAAAGTCTAAGGCCCTACCAGAGGTAAGAGCATAAAGGGGGTTGTTTCGCCCCAAATCCTTGTTTCGCGCTAGGTTGTTTCGCCATAAAACAAAATATTTAGGGCAAAACATTGTTTGGTATTTTCTTTAAATTTTAGTAGTTTTAAGTCACAAAACTTCTTAGTTTTCAGTTAAAATCAATTTTATAAAAAGAAATGTTTGTGATGTGTTTAAGCGCACTGACACACAGTTGCATATTTTTCACCAATGTAGAAAGTTATCAATAAGTTTAGTTGATATATTTAAATACTTATTATTATATTAGCGTATAAATTAAAATAATGATAAGAGCGAAACAAACCGTTACCATAAAGGGAGTGTGAATTTGCTCTCACAAATAAATTTTCAGAATGCCAATAGTGTGTACAAACATATCAGTGTAAATCATAATCCCCATCACCGCCGAGGTCTGGCATTTTAATATTCGAATTAAGAAATATGTGAAAACGTAGTGTAAGTTTAGCTTTAAAGCTGAATGTCAGCATTTGAGTATTTAGTTAATTCTGACCTGCAACCATTCTGTCGAATGTAATTGAACTAAGTTACATGTAATTATATGGAATCAAAAAAGATAGGCAGACGTGCCCATACACTGTATCTGTATTTTATCGTTGCTTTATATTATCTGTTTATTATATAAAGTGATGACATCTAGAAAAGAGAAATAAAATAAGAGAAAATACATTTTGACAATGATATCCATTAGGTGCTTTCGACAATGAAGTGTAGTACATGCGTAGCGGTTGTTTACATTTTTCCATGATCAGCTGATCATACAGTACCGTACCTTCAGATAAATCCTCAGGCAACGGATCGTGTGCCTTTGCAAAGCATACAGCTACGAATATCACCAGAATCTTGTACATATTCTCCATGCTAACGCTGACTTATCTGCTTGTAATCTGTGGTGATGAAGAAATACTTTTAACACAAGGCAATGCTAGCTACTGTAACCAGTCCAGGAGAGACACGTAGCGTCAAGTTACCGGAAGTGTTGTTATACAAATTGTCATTTTCGGCGTCCGAGTCAGAAAGATGTTTTGTCTAATATTGGCGGGAAATACAAAACGTACAGCTTAGATTCGGGTAATGAATAACCTAAGGGGTATAATCATGATAATACAATACTTTCCTATTGCTCAAACCTGATTCGCTAATATTTTTCATTTTTTTTAACCTTATGTTGAGTTTTTTTGGTAATGATTATCCTAAAAGGATCCTAATGCATATCATTTCGATTAAATTCAAGTTTTGAGGTTTATATTATGTTTAAGCACGGACTAAGATAGCAAGTTACCGTAACACGTGTAGTCATTATGATACGAATTAAAGTATGGTCCATACTACATTGCAAAGGGATACCTGTATATGTCTTTTCCATTGAATTATATAATGTAGCAGCGGCTTTCAATACAAAATTGAACCTCTGTTTTTTTAAATATTAACACTTACTCTTAACCTATTATCAGGTGGTTACCCTAGGTAGCACCTATTTCATATTATTAACTTAAACGGGGACGTAAGCCGATTTAATTATGTATACAAATGTAACAGGAGAGGAAAAATGCACGGCCAGACCGGGGTTTGAACCCGGGACCCTCCGAACTTTAGACGGACACTCTACCGGTTTCTTTTACGTGTACGTGTTACCTTAGACTGGCTACCAGCCCCTAAGTTTTTATGAAGAATTTCTCAACGCCATTTTACTACTAGCTTATCTCCCCCTAGTTTGGAACTTAGGAGACATCGAATTGATCAAAATTATAAGTTTTTTTTTTTTTAATAATTCAATATTCTAGAGACGGGGGCCAGTCTAGTGTTACACATGAAGCTCACGCAAGAACGTTCGCTATTAAAAGTTTTGAATAACTTGACTACTCTGCAATCTGTCATGAAAATTGATGGGACTACCATCAGAAGTATACAGGTCTCCAACAACATATAAAACCTGCTTCACTCTGCATTCCAGGACAGGGTCAGACAATGATAGATAAAGAGAGATCACATAGCCTCTCGATCCGGTGCATGGATTGGGATTTCCATGGAGTCCGGACGCCCTTATTTTTTTGTGACACAGGCACCAATTTCTTTTTAGGGAAACATCAGGGGGAAAAAAGTGTCCCATCCTCAGAAACAACATTTACTTTGCCCCAAACGAGAGATTGAACTACTAAAATGTAACTTAGAACATTTTTTCACATCTTCAGAAACACATAGATTTCAAGTTCCCATCTCCACTCCGAGCTAATATTCCAAACTGGTAAAATGAAGCCTCACTTCGCTTGGCGGTACACAACGCATCACTTTCATCTTTATCGTGGTTTCCAGAAGTAGCTACTAATTCATATATAGCTGATTTTTCATAAACTAATAGCAACGAGAAAACAATGCCCAAGTAACAAGGATAAAGTACGAGTTGTACATTGAATTTACGCCTTTTCTAGAATGTTTCTGAACGCAACAGTGGTCTACAGGACGTATTTGCTTTATTAAGTCACTTATAAACGACATGACTCCAAACTTCTAAACATACTACATACATTAAAGTTAAAAAAAAGAAAAAGAAATAAATATAAATAAATAAATGATAATTAGTCAAGCTCTACTGCAAGTTTGATCATTTTATGTATTACACCGGAAAGAACGTACAAGGGGAAAAAACATCTCAATAAATCCCATTATCTCATTGCAACGTTTGTTTAAAAACATCAACTATCGTGGTTCAAATCTAATCCATATAGACTGATACCACGTGATCGAGTGGTTGTCGGAGTTGATGACGTTTTTGTAAGAAGACGAGGTTGTTTGGATTTCGTCTTCAGTATTTTACACTGCACCACCTTCTCCAGTATTTGACTTCCTGCTGCCTGAGAATTCTTCCCACTCGATCGACAAGCTGCTACTACAGTCAGAGTTTTTACTGGAATTGTACGTAAGCCCTTAGTGGTAGGAACATTTGTAAACAATTTCCTATTCATTTTGTAAAATATATTGCTGAGATGGGTCAAGAACTAGGGTATCATTATCAAGCATGGCTCAGGGTTTATGGATGGTGCTTTATGAGAAAAAATAAGCCAAGTCAAGTTGCCACGAAAGGTCATCGATCAATACAAAAGGCCGACTACCTGTATAACTGGATACTGTTTCACTTGTTTCCTGTTAAATATAATTGATTTGACATCGGTACTGAGGCTGATACAGATGTTGTTTGGTTCTTTTACACTCATTTTATTAAAGAACACAGCATAGAGACAATTGCAAGGACCAAATCTACATACACTTTGTTACAAAACGCATAACACAATTACAAGCCAAGTACATTTTATTTAAAAGTCGGTACATGGTTAAACATTGGCAACACAAGACTATGATAGACTTTAACAACCGATAAATAAAACATGATAAGGATGCAAATCCATCTATGACATTGTTAATTTTAAACGAACAGTCCAAAAAGGTGGTTACAGTGCCCCAGACCCTGAGCTTTCCAAGGGTGGGGGAGAACCCTAACAACGAAACCCCGCTCAGGTTCCACCATTGCCCAATTTTGATGACTACAGTTCAGTTGTAAATTACAGATTACATAAAACATTCTGGATAAATAGACGTATCACATATTGCCTTCAACAAACTACATAGGTATAACACATATAAATAAATACATACAAAAGAACAACGATTGAATTACCAGTATAAAATACAAATACAAGGACAAAATCTACAAACGCTTTACTACAAAAAGATATAACATAATGACAAGTCAAAGGCTACATAAACAGACATATCATTTATCATATAAGCGTACCTCTTCGGCCGGCTGATAGCCAATGGCTTTTATAATGAAAATCTACGGATTTTTCCGGTGCCGAATCCGTCAAGGTCTATTAGGCCATGTACAACAGGAGAAATTTAATGCAAGCACATTAATCTCAGGGTCTCGCTGCAGCGTTCTAAATTTGAAGAAGTAACTGCAAAACAGATTTATGTGTTATGTTCAAATAATTATTGTTTATTATCAAATCGACCGCGTTGCCCACCAGATCATTAAATAGTGTTATGACAAAGCCACACTTGAAATTCTAGAATTCAATTATCTTAATATAAGTGTCAACTAGAGCATCTATGAAACCGTCACTCGCGAACTTGATGTATTCGGTACTATACCATCGTGGTAATATGTCTTCCCACATTATGTAACTTTAGAGATGCTATTAAGTTCACCTGAGGTCATCGGAACACTGCAAATTACATCTTCGTTAAAGATCCCGTCAAGGCGAGGGTGACATGTCAGCTGAACTTCAAATGGAATTAACTGTTGCCTCCACGCGTCTGATGTCACTGTCGTAACGAGGTCCGTACAAGATACTGCTGATATTGAGGAAGCTACCTAATTGTTCTGACAGCTTGATGACATGTCACGATGTCGATTTCAGCAAACCCCAAGTTATTCGAACAACCCGCGCACCTTTTTACCTAATTCAGCATGAAACCTCCCAACCCTTTCTGGACGATGAATTCACGACGTGGACCCGTGTCTGTAGGTATGACACCACTGACAGGCATCAATCATCAAGGGAGCGGGGGTAATTTCAAAAGAATAGTTTAAACAATGTCATCTTCTGGTAAATGATTGTTCCTCAATTCGTAAGAATAACTATTTATATCTGTGTGTGATCTTGTCACCTCACTATTCAAATCAGATAGCATCACATACAAAAACCCAAGATGGATGAAAGAACTAGTGAGATATAGGCCCATAGACTTCAAGCGTTTTATTTTAGATTTAACATACTGGAATATCGATACAGCTCGCGTACATGCACAAATATATCTAACTCTGAATTCATCGTCTAGCTGTGCTTTCAGCCCGTTTATTTACTTAGTTTCCACATGTACATGTCTATATGTAAAATGAATCAAATAATTCGGGAATTTGTTATTGTAGTCCATTTTCGTTAAGTCTGTGTTTATTCATAATAAGAGCAGATCTATCGTTTGCATGAAAACCTTTTCCAACGCTGCGTACGAAATCTGATTGATCTGGCTTTAATTAGTCTTCACAATAAAAGCAGCATCGATAACATTCGGTACTGAACAGAGTAAGGGCGTACCCCATGTGATTTACATTTCCATAAAAACAATTGCCATAGTGATGCTATTCGTTATCGTTGCGACAAGTATCACTACAGCAATCTGGGCCTGAGAAAGAACTGGGAATGTCAACACCATTCGAGAAAATCCTGCCCTAACAAAATGTAATAATATTCCATCCATGAATTCAATCATTCTCACGATTCCATCTTCAATATATTTCATCCTAGCCCCTGTCGTGTATTTTGTTCTTCACAAATAATTCACCGAAAAAGGTCAACTGTGTATAGGCGAACGCCTGACAAATGAAATACAGCATATTTTCTTTACATAAAACGCATAGTAAACGCAAAATTCCGAATTTTACACATCATAACACAATGTTTGACGTAAGAATTTGAACGTATATGTTATAACAACTAAAGTACTTTACAGAAGGCTATCTTACCATTAGCACACCTTCCTTAAAACAACAGTACACTTTACGTCGAAATATACTACTACCGCTGGAAAAATAATACCTTTTGTTTTGAGTTGTTTTCAACGGACAAATATATCGAATATCTGTCACTTCTGGTTCAATTCACACGTCTCTCACGACCTTGGCAAAACTTGACTTCTTATTGGGAAGTCCAACGCTGTTTCTCAGTTATTCACATTACTATAGTGAATAACACTATATAAATGTACATACAAAAATGAACAAGCATGTGAACAAGCAATGCAAATGCCACACTGACCCTTAAGTCTTTGTCAAGGCGGGACAGGAGAAAAACTCGGACTTTTTTTTTTTTAAATGATCAGTTCTGGTTCCTATTGGTTATCATTAGTACATACTCATTTCACGAGAGTAAGAACTTAGTTTCTTACATAGCATTACTAATGACATCCTCGATATCC